TTATTTTTTGTTTTATCTAAATTGCACAACAAAATATTGATTGGACAATTTAATTTTTGGATGCAAGGCTTTATAAGGGTATTAAAAAAACTATGATTTACGATTATTTTTTGAAACCAATATCAGCATAGATAGGTTCAATAGGTTGCTTTATAACATTATATAATGCTATTAGGCAAATGAAAGATGACATTCAGAAATCATATTATGATTAATTGTTGAAAAACTGTCAGTGTATTTAAACAAAACAGCAATAAAAAGCAAATTTAGAAAGCTGAGAATTCTAAATCTATGTTGAAAAAAATAATCATACTATGTGTAAAAATTTATGCTTTCAAATAACTCAATTGATGTTGTAATCTTAGAATTTTTGAAGTATGCTTACTGTCATTTAAAATCAAAGATACTGAGCTATAAAGATAATTTACATTTTTAGTAGACCTGAGAGAAATAGTAAAATATATTCAAATTGAATAATAAGTACAATATACTAAATTGTAGTATTAATAACAAAACAAAAATAGATTAACTATTATAATTTTTTTTATTTTTTTTACTAATATAATATTTTAGTATACACCATAATTTCTCATTACAAAACTAAATCACTTATAGTTTATTTGTGTGTTTAATAATTCAATTTCATACACATTATCAAGAATATAAATCTGTAGTAAAATGTGTTAATAATTAGTTAAACACCAATAAATAAAGTTAAAATCCAACATAGATGTAGGTCCATTTTGTAATATTATTTTAATTAAATAAAACTTTTATAAAGCTTAAAACAAACAAAAAATACCTTAATGCTGTATAACCAAGAGTTCTTTTAGTTAAGGGTACAAAATCCATCATACCTGTGTTAAATTGGTAAGAATCCTGTATTCTGGTGAGCGAAAGATACTATGACTCAAAATGAGGTTTTGACTTTTTAAAAAAAGAAGACCAGATATATTACTGAATTGGGGAGAAATGTAGGAGAGTGCTTCTACATTGACTTATTTAGGGATTACATGCAAGAGAATGCTGCTACATCGACTGAGGGTTTGGGTTAAGACAGGTACAGATCAATCGATGTAGCACATTTCTCCTCAAATCAGTAATATATCTAGTCTTCGTTTTTAAAAAAAATCAAAACCTCATTTTGAGTCATAGTATCTTTCGCTTACCCTGTATTCTTGGAAACATTAAATTTAATTCCGAAAGCTCTTTAATGAGTCTAGTTTTGTAATTTAAGACATTAGACTTATCATAGGCAAAAAGCATGTTTTGTTTCTATTGCACAAGCAACTAATTCTTCATTTAAATAAAGATTCATATTTTATAATATTTAAATAATCAAGTAATTAAATAATCAAGTCACGTTATCGTAGTTTCGATACTAATGATGATTTCACGGTAGCGAATAAAAAACCCTAATTTATTAGCTTCTATTTAACAGAATATTTTTCTAAATCGGACACGTTAAAAACAACTGTGGCCAAGTTTTATTTTCACGGTTGAGAGATCTATATTTTATTATTTATATCAGAACATTTATTGATAGAATAAAACGTCGGTAACGTGTAATAGGAACCGTTGTGGCCATGGCAGGAATCTCTATGGCCAAATTCCTTAAATTGCGGCAGACACAATGAAATTTTTTAGGGATTTTCCTCTAGCAAAAAAATTCGAAGCTAAGTTGGCTGCCGTTAAATTTAATCACTATGGCCATGAGCTGTTAAAGGTTTCCATAAAATACGTCACGGAGATTTTAGCAATGTTTACCGCGAAGTTTTTGAAATTTAAATTTAGCGTGACGTAGTTTATAAAATTGCTTATTTTCTTTTTCAATAACCTATATTCAAAAATATTTCAATAATTATTTCTAAAAGTTCTAAAAGATCTTTGATAAAAAATAAATAAACTTTCTAATAAATCTATCTAATTTTAAACTATGTGGCCATGGCCACAATGGCCACCCCTTAGATTCGCGCCTATATATATATATATATATATATATATATATATATATATATATATATATATATATATATATATATATATATATATATATATATATATATATATATATATAACCATTGGCGACACCCAGGATCCGCCCCTGGCTTCTACTGTATTGTTGTTTGATCACTTTTCGTCTTATCTATATATATATATATATATATATATATATATATATATATATATATATATATATATATATATATATATATATATATATATATATATATATATATATATATATATATATATATATATATGTATATATATATATATATATATATATATATATATATATATATGTATACATATATATATATATATATATATATATATATATATATATATATATATACATATATATATATGTATACATATATACATATATATACATATATATATATATATATATATATATATATATATATATATATATATATATATATATATATATATATAATCATTGGCGACACCCTGGATGCGCCCCTGGCTTCTACTGTATTGTTGTTTGATCACTTTTCTTGAACCATGTTTTTTTCCAAATTTAATCTGAAGGATAAAGCACCCATCGCATTCCTAGAAGTAATTCATTAAAGGCCAGTTCTATAGGACGTGTGGGTGGGGGTAACTTATCCCCTCCCCCATCGATGGATTTTTATACTTCCATAGGCAAAACAGGATCTGCACTTTCAGTCGGCAAATTGGGACCTTTTTTAAAAATCAGTTGTCAAAATGGGGTTTGGGGTATGTATCTCTAGTCGGCAAATGAGAGAATTAGAAACCTTTTTTGCGCAGCAAAGTTTTTTTGTCAATGTTTGCTTTTTAGCGTCATACAACTAATTGAGGTTTATAACCAAAGGGCGGTACTAGAACTTTTTGGTCTGTGAGGTAGCTAACTTTCAGACTCAGCTTTATAGGCAGGGTGATTAAAAAAAATCCCAGCAGGCATAGACGTCCGCAGGACGCCTGTCAAACGTCCAGTGGATGTCACAAGTCCGATCTTTACAAGACGTTCTTTGCCCGCTGGGAAGCAGTTACTTTTACTCAGCATTTTTGGAATAATTGCTCAGCTTTTAAAAGCAATTCCTTTTTTTTATTCACAAGCCCCATAGGGTCAACTCCAAACATTTATGTTTATACTTTGTTCAAAAAAGATGCTTTGCAGAAAATTGCGATGATTGGAGTCTGGAAACAAAAAACAAAACCAAAATTTTTGCTAAAAAGTCTACATGAAGAGCAAAAATTTTTATCTTTTGACAAGGAGTAAACTAACCATCTTCGGTGTTAAGTTTCGCCGTATATTAGTTCTCGCTTACCAATAAAAATAAGAAAAATATCTGTTATTTGCGTCTTTGGGATAACTTTTAACAGGTTTCTCTATATTTTGATGGGGACTGTTTTGAATTAAGTCATAATGCTGTGAGTCGTTTATTGGAAATGCTTATTTTCCTCTAAGTTTATAAATGAATTGCTCAAATCAATTGCTTTCTCTTAATTTACTGTCAATATCATAAAAGAAGCAGAACGTTTTTAATTAACTTTTTAAATTTACGTTTAATTGAATGAAGAGTTAAATTTTATTTATAACAGTTTGTAATATTCACTTATTTCGTTATTGTTTTTATAACAGATTGTATCATAAGCTGCACTAAATGCTTAAATAATTAATAAATATTTAATATTTAAATTATAACTTAATAAACTAAGTTAGTTAGGTTATAATAAAAAAAAACTTAAATTTGAATTCGAATTAATTTTCATTTCTCAGATTTTATAATAGTTTGACTAATATTTTGACGCGTGTCACGTGCTGTAATCGAGTAAAAACGGAATAGAATAAAACATTCCTTGTTAATTATCTAGTTAACGATACGTCACGCCTCATAGCCGGTAAACAATTATAAACAATATTTAAAAATGATTTTATGTTATCAGAAGCAGTTAAAATAAGATACTTAGAAAATGATACTTATGTTAGCAGTTAGAATAAGATATTTAGAAAATGATACTTATGTTTGTTAAGTTGATGTAATATAATACCGATGATAAAACCGACAAATAAGCATATTTTTGTCCAGCAAAGTAAAATAAGATATGTAAAAATATCATCAATTATAATTAAGATGCAATATTTAATTGTTTTAGTAAATTTGTCGGCAATGTCGGCAATGTCGACCACTGGTCGGCAGTGGTCGGCATTGCCGACGCCTAACGCCGCCACTGAGTATAAACATAATAAGTAGGAATTTTTTCCATGTCTGGAAGTTAACTATCTTAAAGACAAAAAAATACTGAATCAGCCCCTGCTTGTAACAGCATTAAAATATAATTATTGTTTTGAAAAAGTTGCAATAGTCTTCCCTATCATATCGATAAGTTTATAAATAAAATCTAAAAATATTATTTAAAATTTAATTTAGAGTATTATAATATAATACTCTAAATTGAATTTTAAATGATAATTTTTTTCTATTTTATTTATGAACTTATTTATAAACTAAATTATATTATAGTTAGAAGTATAGAATTGTTTTCAAAACAAACAAGCAATTTTCGAAGCCTTTTTTTACATTTTGTGCCATTTATAAAAGGACCGAAAGGACTGTGTAACTTAAATAACCAGAAGAAACAAACAAACTAAAAAAACAAAACAAAAAAACAATACTTAACAAAAATAAAAGCATATTTTAGTTGCTAAGATTTGTTGTTCCTTGGTCGTCTATCTTTAACTAAAAAAATATTGCGAAAACTGTTAATATATATCCGGAGGTATAACCTTACTCTAAAGAAATAAGTACCATGTGGCTTTTTGGAAAATGAAACAAAAATAAACTCGTCGTGTAGATATACTGATGTATGGGAAACGTTTTAACTATATTGTTTATATATCATTTTATAAAAGAATTTAAAATTATTTAGATTTGATTCTTAAAAATAAAATATTAACAGAAATATTGCATGACACTGTAAATAGACTGACAAATTTGCTTAAATCTGACTCTGTATCTTTTTTTATCTCCTTTCAGATTTAGCAAACATAATTGATATGGAAATTGGTATTGAAAGTTTGTTAGATGTTGCCTTAGGAGGACCTGAAATTGGGCCTCTTAATATGTCGGTTCTACATGGCTTATTACGAGAGGTTTTTCAAAAATTAAATCTTTCAAATGAAACTTTATTAATTAGTGAAAATCATTCTGACTTTAGTGAATCATTTAACTTTATTAAAAGTAAGTTTGATGCAAATAAAAATCGACCAAGAACTCCACGAGGTAGTTTCAAACTAGGAAGATCAAAAGTTTCTGTAATTGTTACTGATTATTTTCGCAATCCATTAGGAAATACAAATCCCTCTGAAATCAATAACAATATCACTTTGTCAGCTTCAGCAGACGTAGAAGATAGAATTAGGTAATATTGTTTTAGTATGAATAGTTCTAATACAAATAAAAATTTGTTAAGCTATTAAATTATATTATAGATACTTAGAGTCGCAATTAAAAGGATTAAAAGCATTTCCCTCTGTTAATGAACTACGAGAATGGGCAAGAGATAAAAAAAATCCAGACACAATTGTTACTGATTTATGGCATTTTGTCAGTCTGAATCATAGAATGGATGGCGTTGAAGAAGGAATGGGAAAGGTAAATATTTTTACAATAATAGTAGGTATTGTTTAGAAGAAATTTTTTGAATGCATATAATGATTATAGAAATAATGAATTAAAAATAGATCAAGTGGTGTAAAATAGAATATAAGTGGTACTATCGAGTTCCTATTACATGATGGGGGGGGGGCAGGGTTGAGGGGAAACGTTTATTAATTATTAGAAAATTTTCCCACACACCCTTTTTAGATCCCCTCTCCAGTTTATTAACTTTTACTTGCGATCTTAAAAAAAAAAAAAAGATGAAAATTGGCCTTAAATATTAGAAAATATTTATTACAGTCACAAATAAAAACAAAATTTTTCGGTGTAAACAGACTTTAAAAATCACCAATCAAATAAATCCTGATTTATCAAAAATAAGTATCAAATTTATTTCTCATTAAAGTATAAAACTTATTAAATCCTATTGAAAGTATTATATAACAGCTGTTTTATGATAATATTTTTTATAGGAAATGCGCATTTGACCGCAAGCCACACTAAATTTAAATAGTTTTATGCTAGTTGTGTAAAAAATACTTGTTTGGATTTATAAACTGAATTTTTTTTAAAAAGTACTTATATTGTAACATAAAAAAATTCCCCCCTTTTATCTCCCCTCCCCCTCCCATGTATTCAGGGTGCAAGAGTAAAAATAGATCAAATAAAAAAAAATTACAAAATTGTTCTGTCTTATCAGTCAAATTTGTAATTTATTTAAATCACTTATATGAAATGCCTTAAATAATTAAGGTTCATCCATAAAGTACCTTGTTCCTAGGGAGTAGGGAAAAACCTTGTTGCTAGGGAGTAGGGAAAAACCTTGTTACTATGGAGTAGGGAAAGGAGACTGTTGTGTAAGAGTGTTTTAAAAATAATTAAGGTTCATCCATAAAGTACCTTGTGACATTAAAAAAAAAAATAGTTAATTTAAGTCTTTTTTTTTTTTACTTGCTTTCATATTTCAGTCTATTGCTTAATGTTTCAATTGTTTTTCATTTACTTTGGTCCATTAAAATAAGAAGGATGGGCCTAACAAATATTTTTTATTTATTTTTGATTTCATACTGGCAAAAACTTGTTTTTAAGGTATATAACAAAAATGCAAATAATAAAAAAAAAAGTTCTGATATTTTATATCTGGTGCAAGTTGACCATTGATCACTTGTCTAAATGATGTTTAAATAAATTTAATAGTAATTAGCTGGAAACTATTTTTTTTTTAAACAAAGGTAAGACAAATAAATTAAAAAATAATTTCAAGTAAAATATAATCAATTACTCATCAAAAAACTGAAACTATTTTGTTTTAAATGGCAAACATTATTCAACAATCCCTAGATTGACAAAACCAAGATGTGCCTTGTATTCTACTAGAATGTAGTATATGCCAAGTTTGCATTTAAATATTTTTGCAATACACTGAAAAATTTGTGTATACCCCATCACAACAGCTTATTTGGATTTATAATTGTTTTGATTGATTGATAATATAAACTACTGTTATAGTTATTTAAAAAAAATTACTTAATGAAAATTTATTTCCCCATATAATGGAGTTATGTGTATATAAACTTCCAAGTTATAAAAACGTTTTTAGGTCTTGTAATCATAAAAATGACAAATTTGCTTTGAAATCAAACCAAAACTTAGTTTTCTATATATTTTCTTACTGTTTCTTACGTTTCAAATAGTCTGATACAACAAGTTAAATATGTGTTTTATAAAGTATCAATAACCACAGTAATGGTTTGCAGATTTGTCTAATTAACAAATGGAAAAAATTGATAGTGTAAAATAACATTATACTGCAAATCTAAAACAATGACTGATATTTGTGAGAGTATGTTTTTTATTTCGAGACTTAATTAAAAGTTTACTGTGTAATATAAAAGAACTGTGTCCAAATATATTTGAACATGAAATAATGAAAAGTAAAGTTAAATATTTCTTAAAAAAGAAATATTAATCTGCCATGAAAACGATTATTAATAGAAAATAAAATCATTTTTAAAATTACAATCTACAGTAGAATGAAATTTTTAATAAAATAAGGCACTATGAAAACTAATCATCAAGTGATGAGAGAAGAAATTTATTTTTGTGTCTATATTCTTATTACATACTATATAATTTATCTTGCCTCTTTTGTTTAGAAGGTTGTCTCTTGTTTAGAATAATACTTTGAAATTTATATTTAAGCAACGTTTATAATTTTTTAACCCAGGGTTATATGGTTAACAATGTTTTCCACGCTTTATTTGATACTTTTTTTAATTTTATTTTGTACTTCATGACTAATGAATGTTGTCAAGTTAAATATGCATCTTTATGTTTTATGAGAAATTGTTTTTGCTACATTCATGGATTGTCTTTTTCCGTATATTTCTGTAATTCCTGATATTTTTCTTAATTTTTAGATTTTTCTGATATCCAAATGATTTCTATATTTTTTAAAAATATATATCCTAAACATACAAGTTTAGGATATATTTTTTTGTAATATATTTGTTTTTGTTTTTAAGCTTTCTCACTCATCACTTACACAAAATTAGGTTAAGTTTAAAAAAAACTTTGAAGCAACTCAGCTAAATGCAAAATTACAAGGAAAATAAGGGAAAATATACTCTGGATTTTTTCAGGAGATTTTACCTGTTACAGTTTTCCCAATTTTTAAAGTATAACCTGGATAATCTAAGTACATTCTAAGTATAAAGAGCTCTAGTGTTGATGGTGAATCCAGGGTGGTAGGTAGGGTGGTCCATAAAACAACTTTTTTGAGAAAAACCTGCTGACACCCCCTAAATGTGTTTTATCTAATGCAAAAACACTAGGTTTAAAATTTTTTTGAACAAAAATTATTTTTAGGGGTAGCTCAAGGCCCTCAAAAATTTGACGGGTCCCTAATATTTTGAAAAAAAAACTTTTTCTAAAGTATGTCAACCTGGTACTCAAAAGAAGCGATATTGTATAAAAACTTCAAAAATAATAATCATTTTACATAAAAAACATGCCTAAAAAAAATTATTCTCAAAAAACCTGAAAATATTGACTTTTTTTATTTTCAGCTTAAAAACAATAGTTTTTATGCATTTATACCTAAAAAAATTATTTTTATAAAAAATTATTATCATTTTTAAATTTTTTATATAATTTTGCTTATTTTGAGTACCAGGTTGACATACTTTAGAAAAAGTTTTTTTTTCAAAATATTAGGGACCCGTCAAATTTTTGAGGGCCTTGAGCTACCCCTAAAAATAATTTTTGTTCAAAAAAATTTTAAACCTAGTGTTTTTGCATTAGATAAAACACATTTAGGGGGTGTCAGCAGGTTTTTCTCAAAAAAGTTGTTTTATGGACCACCCTAGTGGTAGGGTATTTACTTTCAGGTGTTAATTCTAGGGTGGAAAGGGCCTCCTAAACTAATTTTTTTATTTTGTTTTTAATGTTAGTTAAACATGTTTTGCAACACAAAATTAGTAGTAATTAACATGAGCACAACATTCTTGAGAAAAATTTTAAAAAAATTGAGAAAAACTTAAACAAAATTTTTAATAAAAGTAACTGCTAGAAAACAAAAGCTCATAGTAGTTGTTTAGGAAATGCTGAAGTTACAGAGTGCATAAAGATGGGTCCATGAAGATTTAATGTAATTGTTTTAATGTAATGGAAATCATTCCAAATAAGGATTTCAATGATATAGTATATAGTCTGTATTTGTATGATATAGTATATAGCCTGTATATGTATGATATAGTATATAGCCTGTTGTCACTTTAGATTAGCTCTTGAGTTTGGATTTTTTAATGATGAATAGTCATTTTTTTTGTTTTTGTTATTTTTTTTTGACATAATTTTTAGACAATCTCAATATACTTTGATTATAATGATATCTTATGTAAGGTTTCTTATAAAAAAAAAAAAAAAAAAAAAAGCCACAAAATGGCTAAATAGTCATTTTGTGGCTTTTTAATTTTTGATAATTAATTTTGGGTAATTCCATGTCATATCAGCAGGCTCATGTCACCCCATGTTTTAGATTTTGCTAATTTTTTCATGTTATAGGATTTATAATAATTAAGAAAACCTGAAGTTTTCTTATTTATGCTGACTTAGCATTTTTTACAAAATACTTTTTTTGTTGTTAAATAGCAATATTTTATGAACCAAATGAGGTATCATCCTGAAATTATGTATATAGACAATCTTCCACATGGCGGTTACAAATTTTAAATTGAAAATTTTTTTGACCACCATAACTTCATGTAAATTAGATAATAAAGGCATATATTTTGGAGTATTTTGACAGTCAAATTGGTGATGTCTCCTTGATAATTTTTTTAAAACAGTGTCAAAACTTACAATATATGTATCAAATATCATTATTAATAAAAAATATATTACTGCATTTTTCAACTCTTCTAAATGCAGCCTTTTAAGTAAAGCTTATATATATGCTAAGTCAGCATAAAATTTATTTTAAAACTATATCCTTATTTTATGTTGTAAAAAAGATATTGTTAAAATCTTTTTGAGGGCAATAATAAATTTATAGTTAACTTATATATATATATATATATATATTTTTTTTTAAGCCTAGGGTTGGCTCAAAGTATGGGGGGGGGGGGGGGTATCTGGCTTTTGCAATTCCTCTCCCCCCCCCCCCCCCCCCCTCCAAAAAAAAAAAATAAATAAAATAAGATAAAATTAAAAAAAAATTGTATTTTCGGAATTAAATATTTTTCCAAAATTGAAAATTTTGTTTTGTTAAAAAAATTTTCTCTTAAGCTTTTTGGAGGCCTTATGCAATAACTAGAAAGACCTTAGCAATAACTAGAAATGCTATTTTTTTTTATTGAAGCTAATTTTTTTCTAAAAGAAAAACATTTTTTAAGTATAGAAACTTTGCTAGGCCGCAATCCAAATAGATTTATAAAAGACATTTTTTTAAAAAGGTTATATATATAAAAGATTTTTTTTTTTTCTCTAAATAAAACCTTTTATTTCCTCATTATTACATTATTGCTTCTGATTTCATGTTGTAAAGATTAGTTCCCTGTTACTTTGTAGAATTTATATATTTACTTGACTAATTAATAAATGTTAAATGATTACTATATGGTCTGTAATAAAAATAAAAATTAATTACTCTTTAATCATGTATAAAAAGAAGTCATATAATATGGCACATCCAATTATATGGATTTTATAATAAGATGAATAAATAATTTACCATAAACTAAATAATGTTAATGGTGTTTCTAAAAAATATTTATTTTGTAAAATATTTCAAAGCCAGATTTTTTGAATAAAATTAAAATTGGGAAAATATGAAAAAGTGTTCTATTGGATTTGAATGTAATGTTAACAAAAAGACTAGGTCTTTTAGACCTTATCAACATTTTCAAGTGATGAATAACACGAGTTATTATGGAGAGCTGATTTATTTGAATGTGGAATATTGTTAGAAATAATTGTTCTTTTTTTTTATAGGAAATGTGAAGATATCTCTATCTATAGCAATAACTCTTAAAACATAAGGTATTCTTTTGTACCTGGTTGTACCTGGGTGGAAATTATGCAGCAGTTTTTACAAAAAGATAGAGTATAAATAAATGAGTCTGAACATAAACAACAACAATTTTGACTTAGCAGCTGAGCAGTCCCTTCACCAAATGTCCCAAACAAGATAGAGTGCGCACACAGAGGCTGTTCGGCCATTGTCGAAACAACCAAAAGAAATACTGAAGTCCTTGAGATTTCTTGAAGAACTTGATTTAGAAGATTATCAATTGACATTAGTTAAGGCACCCAAAATGTGGATTCAATCATTTAAATTAATTGCCTTGACTTCTTACTGTTTCAAGGAAAAGGTAAACATTTCAAAGCGAGTTGATGAACTCAGTCCACTCATGAAAACAAATCAAAGGTTTTTGGGGTGAACACATTTAATGTTGCTCTTGACATGCTGTTCCAGCAGATAAAATACAGAATGGATACAGCTTAAACAACCACAGATATGTTTTTGTTTATATGGCGTAAAACTTAGTTAAAAAGAAAAATGCAAAGTCCTGGCAAATCTCTACATAAATGATGTAAAAGAAGTAAAAGAAGAGGAGTTGATTAAAGAAATCCGTCATTTAGATGTTCTGAAATGATCAAATACTTTTGGACAAATAGAACTCTTTCTTCTATCAAGTTGCTCAAACGGATCTACCAAAAAGATCTTCAGTCAATATTTCTTTTGATCTGCAATTTACTTCACATTTTTAATGCAATCCCGGTTTTAGTGGCTGAAGGAGAACACTCTTTCAGTAAGCTTGCCTTATCGAATCCAAATTGAATTGCAATGAACAATGACTGAAGAATGCCTTACTAACCTTTTGGTGATTTCAATTGAAAATGACCTTGCCAAGACTTTATTGTACAAAAATGTCATTTTTTTGCAAAAAAAAAAAAAGCCCGCTAAGTGAAATTAATTTGATCTGATTATTCTTCATCATTAACATTTTATTGATGAAATATATAATTCCATACATTTTAAAATATATTTGTATTTTCTGTTTATCATATATTACCAAGTTCAAATATAGAGTGGCTATGTGCAGCGATAGTTGATACAAAGATAATTATTGTTTTCATTAAATTGTAATGTGATAGTAGACATACAGAAAATAAACAGCAAAATTTATGCTTAATTCAGTATACCCGGCAATCCAAAGTTTGGGGCACCGAACAAAAATTGACCCTGCGCACAAAAAAGTCTCTGTGTGGGCCTTCTACAAGAATATTAAGCACAGTACTTAGTAATTACTGAGAATTGTTTATATAAAATAAGATATAATGTATAGCATGTAATATAAGTAATTTAAGGATTTAATTTAAACAGAAAAAACAGTTAAACCTAAAACTTAAAACTTTTTTGTAATCATAAATTAGACCCATAAATTGTCTTTGCCTAAGGCCCAAAATCCCTAAGTCTGTCACTGATAATATATTGATATGTAAATATAATCTAATTACTGTGTTTATTTAGTTAAGCGAGCTAGTGGATAAATTAATTCCAGAGTTAAAAATGAATTTTGAAGATCTAAGAAAAATTAAAGGACAGGTAAATTTAAAAATTCTTGGTAGTTTTTATACCTTTCTTATTTTTTCTTTTTTTATACTATTTATTAACAGCTTTACATATAATGTACATTTTTACATATTACATATTTACATATAACATATAATTCCGATTATAGGTAAATCTATAAAATTTAGAAATCTAGATGATTTTTAAACTAAATTACATCAAATCTAGATGAAATTTAAACTAAATTACATAAAGTTTTTAAAAAGAAATTTGGGTAATTTGCTTGCCAGTAGAACAATAAATTATGAATTACAAAAAGTAATTAGTTGATAAGTTAAACAAAGGTTATAAATCATATATATAAATCAATGAATAAAAAACTTATAAAGATGCTAATGTTTCAGAAAAAAACTGGTTTCGAAAGCATCTTTATCAAATTTAAACAATAAAAGTGTAAATAAGACAAAAAAATGATAGTATATGCTTAGCCCTTGTTCCATTTAACAAAAAAAATACACAATGTTGCAAAATCCTATTTAATATTTAAAAACATTAAAAAAATTATTTGGTAAAAAACTTAAGGAAATGATTTTTTTTTTTTTTTTTTCAGATTTGCTTGATTTTTATTTCATTTAATCAAAATACAATTTTTTAGAAAAAAAAAATAGAATCCAACCTTTCCTAGTCTTTCCCCAAGTGTTACTTGATATCTGGCATATATAAAAATTTCTCACATTTTTTTTTCAAGCCTAAGAATCTGAAGTCTTCCAATACTAGATATTATCTGCTTCCTTGAGTGATCTGGCTTTGATTTTTTGACTATTAAATTATAACTATTCTTGTGAGTTTGTATTGTTAGTTTGATAATGACTTAAGTAAGTTTTAAGTCATCATTTTAACTTTTATCTCTTTTATTGAAAGCTTCATATAAAGAATGGTTGCAATCTTTTTTTAATTTACCATCTGAATGCATTTTCTTAGTTTCAACATTTGCGGTTCTTTCACACTTGTAAAACATGAGTTCATCATTCTTTTTAGTTTCTTTGCAGTTTTGTTGTTTTAGTATCAATTCTGCCAACAGTTTTTTTTCTTTTTGTTCGTTGATTTGCACGGAACATTTTTTTGTTTTGATGGAACTTTCTATTTTAAGGACTATGAAATAAAAATTAAGTTAAATACTATGAAATATTTTTTGTATTCTGTAATTATTGAGTTCTTGAAATTTATTAAATTTTTTTTCAGATAGATGATCTATATAATCAATGTAGTACTCTAACAGATTGTGTATCGCAGATTGATGAAAGAATTGATAATGGAGGTTTTTAATTTTTCATATATATATATATATATATATATATATATATATATATATATATATATATATATATATATATATATATATATATATATTTGATTTTTTTTTAATCGAAATTGGATTTTGAATGTCTATAAACATAATATTTAAAATTTTATGATTTACAACAATATAACAATATCAATAATGTCTTTTAATACTAATACTGTAATAAATTTATACTAATGACTAAGAAGTAAATTGATTTTAATGACAAGAAAGTAAATTAATGTTTAGTTTATTTTACTTTCTTTTATTGTCTAATGTCAATAATATCTATATACTTTCTTGTCATTAAATGACAAGAAAGTAAATTAATATGAATGACATATACAAGTATAAAAAAAAATAATAATTTAAATTAATGTAATAGAAAACCCAGTAAATGTATATTAATGACCATAAAGTATATAAGTTTTAATGACAGTGAAGTAAATATATAATTACGACAAGAAAGTAAATCTATCCATGATCAATGTTTGAAAGATGCAATGTTAGACCTGTTTATATTAATGATGTTGTTAAAGATTTCTTAGAAGTCTCTAGAAATCAATTTCTGTTTTCATCTGTTGAGATCAAATATGATATTTAGCAACATTAATGTTGCAAATTACTGTAACAAGTAATATCATTATTGAGTTTTCAATATTCTTGTGTAATTAGGTAGCCTTCTGTTTAATAAATTATTCAAGTTTTATTTTGTTTAAGAATAATGAACTTTTCATAAGCTGAAGTGAGCAAAAAAAATTACATACTTTTTAAGAACCAAAAATCAAACAACTAACCAACAACATATCAAAACAACTCTCGTTTAACTTTGATTAAATAGAGGATATAAAAAATGTTTGATGTAAGTATGAATATATGTATGTATATGTGTATATATACATAAGTAATCATATTAATTAAAAGTTTAATAATCACCATAGTTTTAGTATTAAGTCTGCTGTTGTTTCAAAGAGGATGAATTGTTAATGTCAGATTTATAAATGGTCTCAACCTGAAACAAGCTGCCGTTGTGTCAGGTTGAGATATTATAATTAATTGTGTTTTGTTGACACAAAATAGAAATAAAATTCATTAAAAATTATCTGTTATTAGGCAAATTACATTGTTATAAATAAATTAAGAAATCATTTTGATAAAAAAATATAAATATTTTTAAATGGTTTTTGTTCTGTTTCTTTTTTAGTAGTAAAAGCTGAAGAAAAATTGCAGGAAATTTATAATAATGAAGTATGATTAAAATTTTAATTTCATTTTTTTTTTTTGTGTTTTTATTTCTCTTATTTTTAAAGTTCATTTGATATTTTTAGTTTTTTCTTCTAATAGATTAAAACTGGTTGTATTTATTAATTGGCAATATTTATAAATTTTATTAAAAAAAAGTTTTGGTTTACATCGGGTCAAAGGTGACATTTTCTAAATGAAATCTTCCAAAATTTAGAAACAGTTTATTATACAGAAAAATACAATCAGCAGAAAAAGTAACATTAGTTTTGACAAAAACAAAATTTTTTTACACAAAAATATTATTTAAGTTTATATTTTAGGTAAAGTTGTGCCACTTGAATTAATTCAATAACAACATACAGTAACAGTTGACAGTAACAACAGACAGCAGATTTTTTTTTTTTGTAAATATGTATTGCTTTTTAAATGTGCAAATAAAAAGATCAGATGCTCATAAAATATGATTAAAAAATTTTTTTTTTAATATTGCATTTTTTGTAAAATTTTCTCAAAAGATCTTGAAAACATGTTGAGCCTCTTCAGAATTGTACCTAATAATGAAAAAAAGAATTCACAAATTTTTGAATTTAATGAAGTGTTTTAGTTGAAGGATACCGTTGGTACAAGTTTAAAAAAAATAGAGTCAATAATATAACCAATTGGTATTGTGTTGAAATAACATTAAGCTTTTTCATGAAATAAAAGAAAAGTTAGATTTATTTTTACACAAAAATCTAACAGTTTGAAATTTTCTATTTATCATTTTGCATTTAATATTTTGCATTAAATGTTAAAATTAGCCATCTTTTAATCTGTTTTCAATTAACCTTCTATTAATAAAATAGTTTTTAAATGAAATTTTGTTAATGTAAATGTAGTAAATATTCTGATTATGTGGTAGACAAATTCTGGTCATGTGATAAAGAGGTTCAGGTCATGTGGTGGACTTTTCTAATTGAAGTTTTTTTTATTAATTTTTTTTTATCTAAACTGAGAGCTGAGTTGGTAAACAAGCTGTTAAAAACACGGCAATGACAGTGGGGGGCCAGGGTGCTAAAAATGCAAGTAAATGAATTGCTTTGAAGACTTTTGGGGTGAAAACGCAACTATGACCATTTAACGTTTATTTTAATCATTAAGCAACCTTATTTCTGCTATTTTTAATTTTTTTTTTTTTTTCACTGTTTTAAAAAATTAAGGATAATTAACTGTTACTTTAATGGTATTTGGATGATCATTTTTCGAATGAAGCAGTAAAATACATAAAAAACATGTTGAATGGTTATTTTTTTATATATTATATTCTAAATTTCTTTTTGCTATTAGGTCTAAAAGTTATTTGCGTGTTTTACGCTTTTTAAACTAAGTGAAACTAGACAAACTAAAAACAATGCTTTTATTCAAAATAATTTCCTTCATTAATAATATTAATAATAACATTTTTCAAAGTTTGACCAGAAAATGTGATAATCTGATGGGGCAATGTTGGAAGAGTACGGCGGGTACGGTATGACTTCCCATTTGAACTCTTTTATCATGTCTTTTACCACATTTGTGACATGCAACCTTGCCTTATTATGAAGCCGTATGAGTTTATCATGTTAATCAACCCATTCTGGTCTTTTTACTGCATTTTTATGAAACAACTGCGCTAATTTATGTTGATAGCAATTCGCAGTGACTGTTTTGCCAGGTTGGTGAAGCTCATAGTGCAGTATGCTGTGTTGATCCCACCATATGCACAGCAAGACCTTCTTTCTGTGGATTTTTGGTTTTGCGGTCAAAGTTGTTGGTTCACCGGGACTAACCCATGATTTTCTTTGCTTTGGTTTATTGTAATGCAACCATTTTTCATTGCCAGTTATGATACGGTGCCAAAATGACTTTCTTTAAAATCTGTCCAGCAACATTTGTGAAGTTGTTCTTTAAATTTTTTTGGCTGTCCCGGCTGATCTTTGTCGTTGATATCAAAATTTCCCAATTTAAAACGCTGAAACCATTTTTGGCAGGTTCTTATGGATGGAGCAGCATCGCTTGGGCAAGCATTTGGTGCGTGTCAGTGGCTTTTTTCTTGAGATGGAAAAAAATTATTATTAAAAAACTCTTTATTTAAATGACTTTTTTCCAGCTCAAAAATTGACATTTTCTAATTTAAAAATAACACATGTTTACAACGTTATATAGGGAAAGTCATATATTGATAGAACGCTGATAATACAGAGAACAAAAATAATAACTAAAATTCGTTACATAAAAATAGTTTTATTTTGGCAATTAACAAACAACAACAAAATACGCAGAAATAAACTTCTAGACCTAATATTTATTTTGTTATTTGTTTTATAGTATTTATTTTTGTTCTATTTAAATTTTTATTTAAATCAAATACTAAGATATTTATTTATTAGTAACAAAAATCTTACTTTCATTACACAGAATGAGTTACACAAAATGTTGAATAGTTATGCAAAAATTTCTGATCTTGAAAGTTATACACCTACGCATGTTTTTAATGATGCTCAAGAAAAAGCATTGGCTCTTTTTGGAGAAATAAAGGTAAAAATCACATTCAACAAAAAAAAATTAGCGTCTATTTAAAAAAATATAAAAAAATGGTGTCTATTTGTTTAATTTTACAGTATTTTTATGACTTTATTATTTATTAGTTATTTATAACTTATTTACTGCAGTTTATTGAAATGTTTTTTATTTATATAAAATTTTGACATAATATCAAAATAACACTTATTATTTTCATACTGTTACAAACTTTTTATTTAACTTTATTGTCTATAAAATATTTGTGGAGAACAAAATGTTTTATATTTGTATTTATTTATATGTATTATGTCAGGGTATTTGTCAGCTTGATGGTATCACCTATAATGCAGAATTCTCAATTGGTTTAAAATTCCCAAAGTTTCAAAAGATAGTAAAAAAAGTCATAAAAAAAAACATCAGTCTCAGATTTAAAGTGGCAATTAGTAGGCTCAACAAAAAAATTGAGTTGATTGATTTTGTTTTCATGTGTAAAAAAACCTTGTCATTAACAAGCAAGTTCAATTATTCAAAAGTTGAATAAAAAAATTTATGTTTTTATTGACTTCAGTTATTGTCTATTTTAGATTTTTCAATATGTTAAATTATTTTTTAATTTATTTTAATTATTATTCAAAAACTCTTTATTTACATTTTTACTGTTTATCTTAAGTTAGGAAAGTTACAAAATTCTTTGCATATTATAAATAGTATGCTTTAAATAAATTAATTACCTTTTTTATACAAAAAAAAATACTTTCAGTAAACTTAATAAAACCTGCTATGAAACCTATTATTTATATTATATTTGCATAAAACATAAAGGAAAATAATATGTAATAAATAATAATATTATAATATCATTAATTTTTAAACAATATTTATAAATGCAAAAAAATTTTTTTTTCGAATTACCAAATATTTATGTAAATTTTATATATTAAATATTTAGATATGCTGATTAAATTTACTTGCTTCCCTTGTGCAACAAGTCTCGCTTTTACTTTTTGCTTACAACATTTTAAAACATTAAATATCACATTTAATGCGATTTTAAATCATAAATTTATTTAAAATTTACACATAAAAATTTATTTAATGATAAGAATTATAATATATAAGAATTATAATAATAAATTAGAAGAACAAAAATATAAATATATCTATGTTAAAAAAAGCAAACATTTTTTTAAGTATTTTAAAATTTTTAGTTTTAAAATAGTTAAAAAGTGATTTCAGCTATTTAATAAGTTACAAGAGGATCTTGGAAATTGTCAAAAATGTTTAGTTAAAAATTTAATAGTATTTAGCAATTTTATTTTTACTATTAAAAATTTAATAGTATTTAGCAAGTTAAAAATTTAATAGTATTTAGCAATTTTATTTTTATTTTCATTTTTTTACAAAAAATGAAAATAAAAATAAAAGAAGACAATATATGTAAATAATTTGTTAAGCCTTTTAAAAATCAGGTCAGGTTATGTTATTGGTAGCATGTAACCCAGTAATACCTGCTTCATGCCCTGCTGCCTTGTAAAATGCGCTTTTTTAGGCAAAGCCTAAAAAAGCGCATTATTCAGCCTAAACTGCACATTCTACAGCCTAAAAAAGCACATTCTACAGCCTAAACTGTTTCTATCTGTTAACCAGCCTTGCACTCCTTCCTCATCTATTAGGCTGGCGTAGATGTATTTACAATACATTATTTCCAGTTTAGGATGTTAAATGCTGGATCTTCCTGACTCATGGCATGGGTTTTGTTTGTGTCTTTGTTTTTATGACTAGGCTACTCATTCTATTATCTCCTAATGAAGATACAGCTCTAAAACTCGGTTTTATGGTTCTGAGGCTGGCTGGTAATCAGGTTTCCCAAACTCTGTGGTAGCTCTCAGATAGGCTGATTCCACCAACAGCTGCAAAATATTAAAGTACTAACAGTGCCATGTTGCGCATGGTTGGTGTCTCTATTCATACTTTTGGTGTGCATTGTCAAGGCCACATTTAAAGCCCTTTGTTATAGTATAGAGTTTATTAATAGTAATGAAGCAGTTGCTTGCGCTATTAACTAGTATACTGAGTACTATATGTGCTTTGAATCAAGTCTTTTGACAAATTTAAAAAATGATCAAAGTACCAAAAAAGATATAAAGCACATAAAACAATCATTATCACCAAGTTCTCTAAATTCACTTATATTCCTGATCTTCCTTGTAACTTTTCTCCTTTTGAGTCTTATCTCTTGCAAAGTTCAACAGACCTACTTGTTCTTTGTGAGACTAATTTGAGTTTGGCTGTCTCATCTTGTGATCTTAGTGTTGATGGTTATCTTCCTTTTATTTTTTAAGACTGGGAATTTACATTCATAAGAGTTCACCCATTTGCTGGGAAACTTGGTTTGAGTTCACAGACTAGTCGTTTATGTGCTTTTATTTAGCACCACTTCACTCTATTGCCTTTCTCTTTGTTCTATAATGCTTTCTTTCATTTTAAGACTGCACTCTTTTTGATGTTATTTCTGATCAAATTGACCAAGCTTTTTCTCTTTATCCTTCAGCTAATATTGTTGTTGCTGGTGGCTTTAATGCTCATCACATTGAATGGCTTGGCTCTAGTGTCAGTGACTCTGCAGGCGTTAAGGCCTACAACTTTTGCCTTTCTCAATTTCTAAAAACTTCAAGTATTTCCAACTTGCTATCCAGACAACACGAATCATTTACCTTTTCTACTCGACTTGTGTCTTATTTCTGATCCTTGTCAGTGCTAAGTTTCTTCACATTCACCTTTAGGTACTTCTGATTGCAGTTTGATCTCTCTAAAACTATTATCTCATTCTTCTTCTTCATCAGAACCTCCCTATCATCGTACCTCTTACAACTATTTTAAATCTGAATACGACTCTTTTTGTAATTTTCTTTGTGATGGCATTTGGGTAGAAATCTTTTGTCTTCCTGCTGCCAAATGTGCTTTTTATGTAACTTTTTGGATTCAGGCTGGCATGGAATCCTTTCTTCCCTCTAGTCAATTCCAAGTCAAGCCTTGCTCTTTTCCAGGGTTTTTCTTTCATTGAGATTTCAATGTTTGCAATCTCTTTAGGTGTACTTGTGCCATTTTGCACTTATACTGATTTGCACTTATGCCAGTTTTTGAAACTGATTTGCACTTATGTCTATGTTTTCAAAGTCTTTTAGGGCACTTATGTCAGTTAGCACTTGTGCCAGTTTTTGAAACTGCTTTGTACTTATGCAAGTTTGCACTTACGCAAGTTCACACTTATACCATTTGCACTTATGAAATTTGCACTTATTCAAATTATGTATATATATATATATATATATATATATATATATATATATATATATATATATATATATATATATATATATAAGATATATATATATATATATATATATATATATATATATATATATATATATATATATATATATATATATATATATATACATAATTTGAATAAGTGCAAATTTCATAAGTGCAAATGGTATAAGTGTGAACTGGCGTACTTATTCATGAAATCTATTTTATATATATATATATATATATATATATATATATATATATATATATATATATATATATATATATATATATATATATATATAATAGATTTATATATATATACATATATATATATATATATATATATATATATATATATATATATATATATATATATATATATATATATATATATATATATATATATATATATATATATATATATATATATATATATATATATACATAATTTGAATAAGTGCAAATTTCATAAGTGCAAATGGTATAAGTGTGAACTGGCGTACTTATTCATGAAATCTATTTTATATATATATATATATATATATATATATATATATATATATATATATATATATATATATATATATATATAATAGATTTATATATATATATACATATATATATATATATATATATATATATATATATATATATATATATATATATATATATATGTATATATTTTACACACACACACATATATTCTAAAGGATTTATATATTTATTTTATGAGGTGATTGAATTTAGTGTCATTTTAAAACCATTACTAGTTTTATTTTATATTAGGAGGATATATCTTCTAACGTCTCAGCTGAATTGCATAATAAAGTGGATAAAGGTTTTTAAATTCAAATTTTTTTTATTTCTTTTAATTTTACAATTTTTTCTTGTTTTATTAACAATCTTTATGGACAACTATAAGGATGTTTTTATATATGAATATAGAGTTATGTTGTAAAAAAAAAACTCAAATAAGCAAAACATGGTTCTTTGATATTTTTCTTTTTACAAAATGACCCACAAAATGGTTTAAGTTGTTAAAAGATCTTTATCTCTTGCTTTCCTTTTTTTAAATTTTTTCAACTGTTTCACTACTCCTAAAAAATACTAATACTAAAAATCAAAAAAGTATTTTGATTGAACATTTAGATTTTTTAAATGTAGAAGAATTTTAAAATATTATTGCATTAGTTTGTATGAATAAATTAATATTTATAAATATTTTTTTTTTAACTTCAAACTAAATATTAAAACAAAAATAAATATTTACTAGAAAATAAAATGTTTTTGGGTTATCCTAAATTTTCTTTAACTTCAAACTTTTTAGAATATTTTAACTTTTATGGTTTGTGTTAAATAAAAATTATTTGTATGTATAAATATAATTTAAAGTAATATAAACAGGTATATTTATTTATGTTATTTATAGTGTATAAAAAATATAGTTTATCTATATTATGAATCAAACCAAACAAGTTACTTAAAAAAATATTTTATCAATTTTTTTTTTTTTTTAAGGAGAAGTAGAAATGTTGTCTAATTGGGTGGTAAGTTTTTTAGCTTAATTTAAGTTTGTTTATTATTATTGGGTATTGAGTTGTTTTCTCTTTGTTTGGCAATGGGTTGATTTTTAGGTGATAAGTTTTTTGACTTAAAAATATTTTAGTTAGGTGATAGGTGTATATGTGATAAGGGTATAGATGAAAAGTGTATAGGTGATAAGTGTTAGGTGATAAGTAGTATGTTTTTAATAAATTTAAAAAAAATTCAGTTTGCAAAATTATCCTTTGACCTTGAGGGTATAATTTAAAAATTTTTTTGTATAGAAACAAAAATAAATTTTTTGTTTCCATACAAAAAAAAATTTAAATTATTTTTTATTTACATAGTATGATATATATAACAATATACAGATACATACATCATATACAAAGATAAGTTTAATTTTGTTAACAATTTTTATAGCAGTAATAATGTTTATAGAAAGCTGAGTTATTATTTCTTATATTTTTTTTAACAATTTTAGAAAATTTTAAGAGCTCAAATGGAAACTGTTCCTTCCAAAGATGATTTGTTGCATATGGATTTGTATGTAAAATGGCCACAGCTTGAAGATGCATTAACTACAAGTTACTCAAGTAGGCCATGCAGTCGACAAGGTTGTTGTAAAAGTATAAATAGAATGACTGGGTATGAAAAAAACTCTGATACTGGTAATGAACAAGTGTGTCCCGAAATTTTAACAATGTGTCACAAGAAAAAGTTTCCGACAGCATCATGTTTGCAAAGACTTCAAGATTTGGGATCAGTTGTAGAAAAACAAGCATCTTTAATGGATGCTTTGCAATCAACAAGGGTAAATTTTAGTCTTAAATTTAGTTTATACATACTTCCAACACTAATTAATAATTAATGCTTGCAGCCTTGTTTGAAGCGAAGATTTAAAAAAAAAATATATATATATATATATATATATATATATATATATATATATATATATATATATATATATATATATATATATATATATATATATTAGGAGCATTCACTATGCAAAAAAACTACAAAAACACCCAAATTGAATTTTTTTGTAATTCTAGTCTTTGTTTATTATGTAAAAAATATTATTGACACTTTTAAATAGATATTCCAGAGCCCCCCTTAAAGCCTCTAAAGATAAGCCTCAATTTCCTGTATAAAACTGTATCTTTTTTTTTATTAAAACAAGGATAAGTAGATAAGTAAGTACCCCTAATCACATTTTTCAAGTATTTAAAAATTAAATAATAGAAATCAAGCTAAACAAAAGCAGCTTGTATAATATATGCTATATTATCCAGTTAAACCAAGCTAGTTTTGCATTTTTTTGCTAACATTTATAATCAAAATATCTGAATATTAATAATGTTGTTTCATTTTCTAAGAGTTTTTTTGCCAAAATCAGGATATTGCTGCCTGTGATTTTCAACGCCCTGCAGTAACCATTCTCTTTGTTGTAAATTATTGAATATGATTGTTGCAAATTCTGAAATCAGTTTCACTTTTCTCTCTGCAATATCATTTACAATATGCAATATCATTTACTTTTACTGTACTAACAAATTTTTCAGCTTCTTGGTATCCTGGTTCCTCTTTCCACTATTCAATTGGTTTTGCAAGCCAATCTGCTTTGGTGCCAAAAATGCTGAGCAATGGAACCAACATGTTTGCTGAAAAAAACAAATGGAACTACCTCTTCTGTCAAATACCATCAGTGATTGGTTATTTTGGAAAGACAAATATCAGCAACTTCTTTATCTATTTTTATGTAGTCCATCATGTCATTGATGAATTGCAAGTCATTCATAGGTGCATCAGCACCAATGCTATCTTTTATCCAAGCCTGTGGAAAAGAAAGGAAAAGAAAAAGATACCTGTTTATTATAAAAAGTTTGGTCACCACCAAAACCATCATTCTCTGATCATAAGGCAATCGTTTAGAAAACAGGAACATTTTGTTCACGTAAATATTACATGCCATCCACTGAGCTTTGTGGAAAGCTCCTGGTTTAAGAAAGTGTACACCCCGCAGTGGAATTTTTCCAAGGATGTTTATTCTCAGCACATTCACAGTAGTTATCTCTTGGAAATGTTGTAGCATCTTTATTAGCAAGTAGATGTGTCATATGCTATAAAGTCTGTTTTTTGAGGTTTTGCAACCAGGTGCCACAGCTAAAGTTTTGATTGGCAAATGTTTATTCAATGTTGGCCAGGCAGTTTTAAAATCAGCAAAGAATTTATTCTCTAGGCAAAAAATGTTTCCAAATATAGTATTCCAAACTGCTC